TTAAAGAACAAACCAAAGTGCCATCCCCAAAGGCTGTGCTACCCTAAGAGGTGATCTACCGTATATCACCTTCTTGAAAAATCTAAAAATCTAAGCAAATTTACAAACAGTGTGAAAAACAAAAGCTGGAAATATAGAAGTAGAGTATTTACTGCATAAATTCCACTTTTCTGTTGTTTTGCTCTTCACAACTCTGTGTGTATAACAAGCTGATTTGGTCTGGCTATTAGCCAGGATGTTTAATGAGGGAGCTAGTTTATAATCATGTTTTTACAGACTTTGTAGACGTGCAGCTGTATTTTTTTGATTTTCCAGATCAGAATTCTTTTTTTTTTTTTTTGTCTCCTGTCATTTTGCAGAATTTATACATTTACAGTTTAGTTTTGTTTGTTTTTTATAAGTGCTAGAAACATTTTCCAGGCTTCTTTCAGCAAGCTGACCTGCAGGTTTTGTTGTAGTGGTGGCCAAAGACTTTCCTTAAATCCCAGCAAAGAACTTAACATCATAGAAAAATTGTATTTTTAAAACTTTGGTTTATCATTATGAAAGTAACCACCTCATGCTTGCTAAAAGTTCATGTCACACTGTAAGTGGGATTATGATTTCAACAGAGATTCAGAACCACAGCATCCTTCAGGTCCGGGATTACAGTGTAAATATACAGCAGGCCACAATTGACACGCCCGTCCTTCTGCCATTTCTGATTAGACACAAGAGAATTTCACCTACTGACTGAAATTGAAACTTAAAGACCTAAATGATTCTTTTTATTTCACCTACATTTTTTGGCTGGAAACATTATTAACATTGTCACTAAAGATAAATCATTCAAAATACCTGTGAGAACCTGGAAAAAGCTATGCAGCAATTATTATTTAACTGGTACAATATCATTAAAGAATCTCCCATTGATTGCAGAGATCGGTATTAATAATTTTCACCCTGCTTTTGTTTAAATGCTTGTAAAAAATATTTTCCTATTCTGAATTGACAATATTTTACTATATAATGAAGGTAGTCTGTCTTATTTCTGTTCAGAGGCAAATTGTAATGAATGTAATTCATTTTTAATCTAAATTTGCCACCAGTTTGCTTAAGCCAGGCTTTGTTAAACAGCTTCTCGCTTTATCTTTAATCCTGAGTCCAATAATCTTATGGAAAAAGCTAATTTTAGCCACTTTTTACTAATTAACGCATTTTTTCAGGTATAATCTGAATCTGATTACCAAAGATTAGAACTTATAAAAAGACTCTCATTTCAGTTTTGTTCTTCACCTCACCACACCAGACAGATGCCCACGTTGCTGCAGACAATGCATCAGTCTGTCCATCCATTTCCTGCTCCATTTAAAAACTGTTTTTAACTGAGACATAGACTATGCTTCCAACTGGGAGATAAATCTTTCATTACTCATTTAAAACTAGTATTACTGATATGGCCTGAAAAGTTGTAAATAAAAGCAGTAAGTAAACTAAAATGTCAGTCTGGACTTTTTGCTCATCTTTCTGAGGAGCTTTGCATCATCTAATAGTAGCCTTGAATTTAATACATCAAAAAAGACCTACTGCTGATACCTGATTATCATCTTCTAAGTGAAGTTGGCCATTGCCACCACAAAGGACTGGACTGTAGTCTAAATCCCTCTCAAGATTTTCTATTTTCTGAATTTTTTCAATAAGGTGTATGAAGTTGAAGACACCAGAGGAAGATCTGAATCAAAGAAATAACAGCTGATGTTAAGCTGGTGTAGAGGGAGTCTTTGAATGTCAGTGCAGTATTGTGCTACAGTCAGATGCACAGAAAACTTTGCTTTATTCCTCCATCAAAGGCTCCTTGAGGGAATCCGAGCAAAGCCGCAAGGAGCCGTCTCAGCCCCACCTCCCGCAGAAAATCTGACACAGGAGAGGAGCTTTTCTGTTGGATGTCAGGACTGCAAGAGCATCTCGATTTCAAACAGATGTGTTGAATGACTTGCAAGTCAAAGGGAGACAAAGAAGATCTGCTGATCCTTTTGCTTTTAGACAGCATTTTGTAAATTGTTATTTTCCTACTTTGTGTCAAAGTACAAAGGAAGATAAAGCTCACATGGGTAAGGAAGTGAACTTAAAGCCATATTAGGCTGTAGCAGGCTGGGATCAAGCAAGTAAAAAAAGTACATTTTTAAAGTAAACATTCATATATTAATGAAAATAGAACCAATTAAATCATTTTCATAATTATTAATGTTTTTTGGAAGGTTAAAAAGAAAAACAACTATGTAGATGACTTTGTGAGGCTGACAACAGCAGGAGGTGCTGTACAGCGCTGCACCCTGCTGGCTTGGCTATGTGAGCACGCTGTACCCTGTCAGACTGTATGCTACATGTGGTAAAGGAAAAAGATTTTTTGGATGAAGGTCAGAGGCAAAGAGAGATCTCTCTATGAGTTTATTGAGCTTTTACTGGTTTTGCACAATTTGTTTGGAAATCAAATACCCACCAAAAATCATATTACATTAGGCCTACTGATAAAACTAGAGGAAGTCTTAAGAGGAATTCAGTTCAGTTTCATTATGCATGTTTTTAAAATGCAGTGCAAAATGAATCTATATCTATATGTGATATTTAAATCACTGTATTGGTCATTAGTAAAGGGGAAGGGTGGGAAATAACGCATATGCAATTAGCTCTTCAACTTACTGCAACTACTTTACCTTAGAGTGAATATAGACGCGGTCCCAAGAGACCACACTCTCCTAGTTTCTGACACTTTCTCTTTTGACTTAGGATGCCGTTTTTTGTCCTCATGACTTCATTAACAACCATTTTAAGAGGATTGATCTATTGCTTGTTTGTGAATTAAAGATACAGTGTGTAATTTTCAGTGACATCTAATGGTCAGACAAAAATATGGAGGCTTTCATGGTATACTATGCCTTCTGCATCATCCACATCAAGGGATGACAAGCTTTGTTTACATAAATCATGTCATTATTTTTTCTTTGTATTTGGACTTGGTACTGCATTTCAGTTCAATTCAGTTTATATATATAGCGTCAATTCACAGCAAATGTCATCTCAGCGCACTTTACAGTTCACCAGATCACACCGTTGAATTGATTCAAAGTTTCCTATCTAAGGAAAACCAGTTGATTGCATTGATTATCGACTCAAAGGCAATCCCTCACAGCAAGCATGCTTGTAATGACTGTGGAGAGGAAAAACTCCCTTTTAACAGCAAGAAAACCTCCAGCAGAACCAGGCTCAGTCTGAGCAGCCATCTGCCACGGCTGACTGGGGTTCAAGGAGACAGAAGCAGACATACAGAAAGAAGCAGAGAAAAAAAATGCAACTGTCAACCAGCTCCACAGGCGGCCCCCATCCAGGAAACACACAGCCAGGCAGATGAGCTCTGAGCCAGAACCCCATGTCAGCGGATGAAGAGAGCACGTACAGTTAGTCACAGTCAGAGAAACAGGACTACACTGAAAAACAGGCCGAGCTCCAACATCTATAAACAAAGCTGTTGATGGCAGAAGCACTCCTAATATATCTCTCCAGGATGGTGTCACAGTCAAACAGGAACAGACCAGATGAAGCTACTATGAGAAAAAGCAGAGAGAGCATAGTGTTAGGGATTGAACTAACAGATTCTACAATGTGGAAGAATACAGATAGAATGAAGCAAAGTGATGAAATAGGGGTCCCTATGTCCTGCAGCAGTCTAAGCCTATAGTAGCATAACTTTAGAGGTAGCACTGGATAACCTGAGCCACTCTAACTATAAGCTTTATCAAAAAGGACAGTTTAAAACCTACCCAAAATGTAGACAGGGTGTCTGCCTCACAGACCAAAACTTGTAGTTGGTTCCACAGGAGAGGAGCCTTTGCAGTAGTGCAGTAAAGCATCTGCCCTTAATATTTTTTAATACATCACTTTTACTTTTATACCCTAAGTAGATTTAGAAATGGTACTTTTACACTTTTACTTGAGTAAAAAGCTTAAGTTAATAATCTAACTGCTACAAAATTGTTTTTAAACAGTAGGATTTATACTTTTACCTGAGTATTAAACATTAATACTTTTGACACCTCTGCCTGTAAAAGTACAGAAAAATAATCAGGGATCATGCTGGTCCTTTCCCAGGTTCCTATCATTGCTTATCTGCTGAAAATGGTGAATAGAACATGAGAAGAGTGAAAAGAACAGTAGAGAGGGTCATTGGGGCTCCTGTTCCCTACATTAAAGACATTTTATCCCAACTCTACATGTCCTGAACCCCTAACATCATCAGCTACCCCTCATCTGCCCTCTGGGAAGATGCTTTGCAGCATTCTGAACTCTAAAAAAACTCTAATCACACACTTGTTAACACCATATTTGCACTTTGTGGTAGATCTTAAGAATAGAACTCAACTCACTGTTTCTACTGCATTTTGCACCATATCTATTTATTTATTTTTGCACTGCTCTGAACCTTCCACATAAATGCCCTTTTGCCCCATGTCTCTCCTACACTGTTTACATTCTAATCACTGCTGCACTTTATAAATGGAAATGTTCATTTTCACTGCTAAGCAGCACAATCAGTCAGAAAGCTGTATAAATGAAATTTTGTTTTGTATAGTATGTCATAGAAATATGACTCCTGGAAAGCACAGATAAAGGCTGCTTTTGCTACAAAATGTCTTGTGAAATAGCTTTCATTTGTTAATTTAATGTTTCTTCCTAAAAGCAGATAAAAGTATATTATGAAGCTGCAGTCTAAATGCTCCAAGAAGACACATTTGGGTAATTTTCTGTAATATGTCTGGAGCCTATCAGTACTTCAATACATTAACATTTTTGTCTCTTCATTAGCCATAAGTATAATAAAAAGATGGAAGGAAAGAAGCAGTCTACATAGTTTTCTTTCTTGTCGGTATCAGGTCCATTTTTTTTTTCAATGTGCGTATTTCTAAGAGGCGGATCCACTGACGCGTCATTTGCTCTGACGGCCCCCGGTAGTTTAAGCGGTTTGCGTCATGACGTGAATAGAAATCACATAAGTCACTTTGAGCAACGGGAAACGGTAAGAAGAAAAAAAAAAAGATTTGGTTTGCTCTTTGCCCAAGAATTATAACTGCTAATCGGTAATAAAAAGCGACACCTAACGTTTGTTTAAAGTATGACCTATTTTATGTCAAACTCTTGTGTTTACAGTCATTATGCAATTGCTTTTCTTTTGTTTTTCTTTTCTTTTTTTGAAAAATGTAATGCATGTTTTTTGCTGAAGAACATGGGATAATAACGTCATACTAATGTGAATAAAAGTCTGTTTGCTCTTTAGGAGTCATGGCTGTTTTGCTGAGGAAAGTGAGGCGCACCAACGCAGCAGCTGCGTCTGTTCTGGAGCGTAAGTGGTGACTGTCCTTAGAGGAGCTGCCTTAGCATAATACCAGATCCAGTTACACACACTTGCCTCCACATTTTCTAGCAAAGATAAATCTGTCTTCACTCTCAGGCACTTTGTATGCATTAAAAATACCATTCAAATAAATTATTAAGAAATTGCTTGTTGCTCTCCTATAGGGATCCAGGCTACTATGCAGAGATAAGAAGGGAACCCAAAAACTGCACTTAAATGAGAGTAGGACTAGTTCATTATATTTTAATTCAAGTGAGGAGTAGGCATCCAAGAAATGACTCAAGTAAGAGTAAAAAAAGTATTTGCTAAAAAGGCTACTGAAGTAGAAGATTAACTCATAATATCTCATTTACTACCTAAAATATGTAACAAGAGAGACTAAAATGTAAAGCTACGGTATTTGAGAATTCTGGTACTTTAATGTCAATCATTAAATAATTGAAAGAAATGGATAATGTAATTGAAAATTAAATCCAGACAGAGGAAGCAATTTCTTTTTAAAATAAAGCTTAGAAACCTAGTACCTTCAGTTGAAATATTTACAGCTTATTGGTTCGATTCCCAGCCTGGGGTCTTTCTGCATGGAGTTTGCATGTTCTCCCTGAGCATGCGTGGGTTCTCTCCGGGTACTCCGGCTTCCTTCCACAGTCCACATTGGATAAGCGTGACGGAAAATATATGGATGGGTGTTTATGAGCTCAAACTCCAAATATAACACTAGGTATTCCTGTTATAAAGTATGCTTGTGAACGAAAAAAGAAACTCATTCGGACATAAATAATTATCTGTCAATGTCTGGAGAAATATTGTTAAAACATAGCTTGGTGGTAATCCATTAAGGTCACTCACACTGGATGGAGTAGCCAAACATTTTACTCAACTAAGGGTAACAATATTTTACAATATATTATTCAAGTTACAAAATTATTGAGCAGTAAATCTATTTCTAAAAGTGGATTTTTGTTAAAAAGTTACTCAAGTAAATGTAACTAAGTAAATGTAGCTAGTTACTACCCAACTCTGTGACTTTTTTTTACTTATCTAACTTATAGTTTCAGGGACTTGTATTGTGCTTTATTGTGAAATGGCAAATAATTATATTGAAGTAAAAGGTATATCAAATGTTAAATATTTTTTGAAAATAAACATCTGAAAAGTGTGGCATTGGAGGATTTTCAAATTGATATTGACTATGACTAGATTTTTCTGTTCTTTAATCTAAACCTTTAATCTAAGTTTCTTTGCAGCTTTTAACTGGTCTTTAATCACTATTTGGTCGTATTTATCTTCATCCATCTTCCCATTAACCCTGCCTGGCTTTTTATCCTGAGGGAAAAAAATCATCCCACAGCATGAATCTGCCACTAAATAGTTTCACTATGTGGTGATTTGTTCAGTGTTATATATGCTATGTGCGTTTTTCCACCATGTATACTGTTTTATAGTAAATAGATAGCATCCTTTATTTTATTATTTGTGGCAAATGTTAAACATCTTATAATTTGCTTGCAATCTATGAATTTGTGTCACCAACTTCTCCCTAATAGGTTATGGATCTCAGCTCCTCAAGAGTTAAAGGTATAGTGGAGGATGTTCTTTTTCTGGGTGGATCATCTAAATAAATGGTCCTCCTAATTGTAAATCATTCTGATGATATGCTTACGTAAGGCCGCCCTACGTTCCTATTTGCATTTACCAATGGTAAGTGGAACATAATGGAAAAATTGCAAATCTTCTTTTGGAAAATAAGCTTGTATGAGCGATGCAAAAAACAACTTTTAAACAGAGCGTGCACGAGCCCATTTCTCCTCGTGCACACTCTCGCACGTGTTTAATAGACGTTCCCTTTCGGGAGCAGGTACAGGGTTGTGCGTGTGCATTTTTTTTTAAAGTGGAGAGGGCGAGTCTTTGCAAAAATGTGTGAAAATCCTCCACTATGCCTTTAAGATTTTGTTTTATGACCTAATCTTTAATTTAACTTCACTACAGCTTCATCCCTGACCTTTCTGCTGTTCCTTGGTCCTTACTCTGTTTACATCTATATCATATACCTGGAGAGATCAGAGTAAAGGGGGTTGAAAACAAATGCAAGCCACCTAATTCAGATTTTTTGTAGCAAAATAATTTCATTTTTACTTTGTTGGTCTTAACCATGTAATGCAACTAAACTTTTGAACATTGAACATTGAATTCAGCTTAAATAAATTCCCTCAGGTGCAGATTTCTGCACAGATTCTGAGATCCGGTCTCTGACTCGAGAAGACCTGCATGAACTGTTCCCTGGACCAGAGAAGCTGAAGCTGAGGAGGACCATTCTCCGAATTATAAAGAAACATGTGAGTATGTTCTGAACTTTGTATTTTCGCTTTGTTGCAGCTCATAGATATTTACAGCATTCTTCCATTCTGATCAACACCAGTTCTGTTTTCATTATTCATGTAGAAACCAATAAATGTGCTGCTGAAGGAACTCAGAGGTTGTATTCCAGAGTATTCTCTCAGGGGTATGTTTTTAATTTTTTTTTTCAGCTAATGCTACTAGAATAACATTACGGTATTAATATTTCTAACACACACCATCATGCTTTTTTTTTTTTACCAGATTCTCTATCAGGCAGTGGGGTCTTGGTTGACTACCTCCATACCCTGAAGGAAATGAAAGCTCAGCTGAACAATATGCATAGTTTCATTGAAGCACACATTGAATTACTGGAGGACATGAGTAAAGCTCGGCCGCACCAGCAACAGGACCCAGGTTGTAATGAAACCTTATTGTAATGCATGCTTTTGGTAAATGTTCCTGATGTGTTCCAAAAGGGCTCTCAGACAGACTCCCATCTATGTGTGACGGTCACCAAATGTTCTCATGCCTCTAAAATATCACCATTTATTCTGAGTTGCCTTATGTTTTACTGGAAAACTAAATGAAGTTTATTTTCTATGAAAGTGAGAGGTTTAAGGACAATCTGTGTTTTCCTTGCAGACCTTTGAATTTTGGTGGAAATGATCAGCGCACCCACTGCAAAAAAAATGTAACATAAATAAGTCATTTTTTCTTAAAATAAGTGCATTTTTTCTTAAAATTGAGGAGGTAAGTGAGACACTTTGCCAATGGAAAAAGACAGTTTACATTTAAAATAAGAAAAAACTATTGCATTGTCTTATTTCAAGTGCATATTATCTAATTATCTTATTTTAAGAGTAAAAATACTCATTCCACTGTCAAATCATCTTATTAATCTACTCAAATTAAGGGTAAATACACTTGATTTAAAATTTGTACTTATTTTCAGATTGTTTTTGCAGTGCCACCATTCATATTAAATCATACAAAAAGTTCAGACTCAGAATCTCAATCTACTCTCACAAAGTTTTTACATCTCCAAAAAATCTGTTTTCCTTTACTTTTAATTTTTTTTCTTTTTCTTTTAAAAGATCATCTAAAGCAACAAGAGCATCCCCAATGCCATGTCTATTTATGGGATCTTTCAGCACTTGAACACACAATTAAGTATTCTAATTTAAGAATATATATTGAATATATATTTTGGTGAAGAATAGGAAACTGTCTAAATAAAAAAGATTATTAAAGACTTAAACTTATATAGAAGGTTT